GACAGAGTTCAGGGGCGCGGCCAACAGGAGGACAAGAGGAGGACAAGGCCCGGCCACAGAGCCCAGAGTTCAGGGGCGCGGCCAAGAGGAGGACAAGAGGAGGACAAGGCCCGGCCACAGAGCCCAGCCACAGAGTTGACAGAGTTCAGAGGCGCGGCCAAGAGGAGGCCCAGCCACAGAGCCCAGCCACAGAGCTCAGCCACAGAGTTCAGCGGCGCGGGCAGTGAGTGTGGGCAGCTCTTTTCTTTCCTGCGAGCCACAGAGCCCAGCCACAGAGCCCACGCAGCCCCGCAGAGTTGACAGAGTTCAGGGGCGCGGCCAAGAGAAGGACAACAGGAGGGCAAGGCCTGGACACAGTGCCCGGCGCGCCAAGAGGAGGACAAGAGGAGGACAGGGCCTGGGACAAGAGGAGGACAAGGCCCAGCCACAGAGCCCAGCCACAGAGTCGACAGAGTTCAGGGGCGCGGCCAAGAGGCCAGCCACAAGCCCAGCCACAGAGCCCAGCCACAGAGCGGAGCCACAGAGTTGACAGAGTTCAGGGGCGCGGCCAAGAGGACGACAAGGCCCAACCACGGAGCCCAGCCACAGAGTTGACAGGGTTCGCCCAGCCACAGAGCCCAGCCACAGAGTTGACAGAGTTCAAGGCCTGGACACAGAGCCCGGCGCGCCAAGAGGAGAAGAGGAGGACAGGGCCTGGGACAAGAGGAGGACAAGGCCCAGCCACAGAGCCCAGCCACAGAGCGGAGCCACAGAGTTGACAGAGTTCAGGGGCGCGGCCAAGAGGAGGACAAGGCCCAGCCACAGAGCCCAGCCACAGAGTTGACAGAGTTCAGGGGCGCGGCCAAGAGGAGGACAAGAGGAGGACAAGGCCCAGCCACAGAGTTGACAGAGTTCAGACAGAGTTCAGGGGCGCGGCCAACAGGAGGACAAGAGGAGGACAAGGCCCGGCCACAGAGCCCAGCCGGGACAAGAGGAGGACAAGGCCCGGCCACAGAGCCCAGCCACAGAGTTGACAGAGTTCAGGGGCGCGGCCAAGAGGAGGACAAGACCCAGCCACAGAGCCCAGCCACAGAGTTGACAGAGTTCAGGGGCGTGGATAAGAGGAGGACAAGAGGAGGACAAGGCCCAGCCACAGAGCTCAGCCACAGAGCTCAGGGGCGCGGCCAGTGAGTGTGTCCAGCTCTTTTCTTTCTAAGATAGAACCCCAACAGTAAACTGTTTGGGGAAAAAAGGAGGACAACGATCGAGCACATAAGTGGGACTCACCGAGGATTTACTTCAGGAACCAAACTCTTGGTTCAAATCCCGGTCCCTGTAGGGTTTGGACTTATTCATATTGTGGAATCTGAGCAAACCACTATGAGGTGCTTGGAATTTTTGGAAGAAAAGCCTGCGGTTCAACCAAGGCCCTGACCAATGACACCCCCAAACTGACAAAGTAACGTGCAAGTGGACCTGATTGTTGAGCATGACATCATCAAGGCTGCAAGTCTTGGAGTCTCGACACCATCAATGCGCCATGAACGGTCGACAAGGACGGCGAAAACGCGCAGTGTTTGCCGACCCACATCTGAAAGTTAGATTGGGGTGGATCTAAGAACATCACAACCCGGATGGGGGGCCCCAAAGCTAAGGGGCAGACCAATGTGCATATGCGCGCGCAAGAAGGACAAGAAGGCAAAGACATGAGCAGGAGACAGGACAAGACCTGCGTGTGTGTGTGTGTAACCTTTGGAGTCACAGGGATCCAGTTGGATTTTATTGCAGGGGGCACGGAGACTGATTTCCTAGAGTTGGGACGCTGCGCTTTGATTTGTTTGTGATGTTGAGTAACAACCTTTTCCTCTAGCTGACCAGGCTGTTTAGGTAGGCCTCCAAACTTGAAACGAGCGCCTTCAGCCTGGATGCGATGGCCTCCAACTACTAGCAATGGCCTCTAACCCTGGCGGCTGTCTTGTGTGTCTTGTGTTTCTTGTCGCCAACCTACTAGCGATGGCCCCTCAACCTGCTTTCGACGGCCTCCAACCTAAGAGCGATGACCTCTAACTTTGGCTGTTTCGCATTTCGTTTCTTGTTGCCAACCTGCTAGTGATGGCCCCCAACCTGCTTTCGCAGCGGGCGGCATTCGAGTCCGTACACATATCCATAAGTGCTTCTCCTCAGTGAGAGCCCAGGGTGACCCCGACGAGTGGCCCGTGTGAACCCGTTGAACGGGGTGTTCGCCGGCTTAGGAACGTAGGTGTCCGAAGCGAACAGCAGGAGGCTTATGCCAAAGTTACTTGCCAAGACCTGATGGATTGTTGAATTCCAAGCAGGCAGTCGTCAGACAAGCCATTAGGTGACCGCAGCGGTCTTGTGTAGGCAGCCCTGGGCAAGTCACTACGTGGTCGCAGCGACCAAAGCTTTTAAGGTTCAGTGGAACCTGTCCGGGCCCTTCTCTCCCTACCCCTCCCTCCCTCGTGCGGCGCGCTTACATAGGCATTTGGTTTCATCCATTCCTGTCCCCTCCATTTGGTTCCCCTTTTCATCTTTTTCTCCTTCACACACTTCTCCTTTCCTCTTCTCACTTCTTTTTCAGGTCTCCCTGTCTTCGTGTCCTGGCATCTCATCCCTTCTTTCGTTTGCGCGCACATTGGTCCTGGCCTTAAGCCTTAGTATGTACATGCGCATTCACATCCACTTCCAACCCAGGTTTCAAGGTAGGGTTCATCTTTTGTCCCTGTGCATTTACCTTTCATCGCAACCACGTACATTTTGTCCCATCTGCCCTCTTTGGTTTTTTCTGACTCCCTAATCGGGAGGCGTGTGTGTGAAACCCTTGGAGTCACAGGGATCCAGTTCAGTTTGAATTTATTGCAGGGGCACGGAGACTGATTTCCTATCCATGCCAACGAAGCTACGGAAATCAGTTGGAAGAGAGTTGGGACGCCAACTCTTGTACCTGCACTTTGATTTGTTTGTGATGTTGAGTAGCCACCTTCTCCTTTAGCTGACCAGGCTGTTTAGGTGTTTCACACACACAATGGGCTTGGAAAGCGTTTTGAAGTTTTGAAGATCTTTTCAAAACGTCCTATGATTGAACTCAGGCTGGCAAAAACGTGCCAGAATCCAAGAAGAGTGCTGCACCAGCGTCATTGGAACCGTAGCCTTAGAAATTAGAAATGATTGAAAGGTGTACGCAGGGCAAAATCGAGACATTTATCCTGCCACGGCCTTACTGAGAGACCAACCATGTTGAAGCGTCCAGTACAGTATATTTAGTTTTCGGAGGCAGAAGCTCCGTTGGATATTCTTGAAAGCGGGCCAAAGCCTGACTTTCTTGCTAGCATTACTGATGCTCCAGTGCTCAAGGAGTGCGCTTCACAAACACGGAGAATTTTGAACATTCAAGCATGTAATATAGTGATCGATTCCAAATTCCAAAGTTGTGTGTATATATATATGCATACATATATCAGAAAGTATAAGCAGCATAAGCAAATCTTCAAGATCAGAGGAAATCAATTACACGTGGCCGGAGCTCTACGAGAACTCGATGCTGATCGTCATGATTGATGTGTTTCCATTATTTTCAGTGCGACTGTGTTAAATTTTTGTTTAGCGTGAGGTTTCGCAAGCTGCGATTTCACATCAACGCTCTTTCCAAATTGTACTTGAAGAGGACGCAGCTAGCGCCGTTCTAATAGATAGATTATTGTTGGGCGGCAGGACTGGTCATGATCCGAGGAATTTGCCAAAAGCGCTCCTTGACCACAAACGCATGGAAACATTGCCCAAGCTGAATCAAATCACCTTTGTTGCATTTCCTGAGGTTTCGATCCTTTGTATGGGTGGAGGTGTTTCGCAAGGCGCGCACTGGAAGCTCAATCGTATTGGAAACCAGAGTCTACTGTAATGCCGCCCGTTTGTTTGTTTCCTCTACAGAACCGGCCAACTCTGCGGCCTGCGCACCACCCCTGTCCCCCAAAGTATCCTCAGCGCGTACAAGTTTGCAGCTGACAATGACTGGTTTGCTTCCTTTGTTTCTTCCGACTCTTGTTTTTGTTCAGCCAGGGAGACTCACTTCGGCCATCTGCACACACCGATGGTGGTTATCTTATGGGCAGGCAGTTGTTTGAGTGTGCTGGCTTGACAAAAGGCTTTCGATGCTCAAATCAAACCACAACGACCTGCTTTTGATAGTCCAGCTTGTATCCAAAGCCTGCAAAGCCAAATTAACCCTGATTGCTTCATTCATAGCGCATAGTTCGAAGGTATTGGCCTCAACTCAAAAAGAATGCCTTGAAATTCAATTTTGAGGACGGCGACCTCTAGGTGATGCTGATTGCTTCGTATGATTGGTTTGACTGTTCCGGGAGGATCCACGTGGCATCAATCCACCTTTTGGAAAAACTCACTCGCATCTGGCAGAGGAGGCCTGTTGAATGAAATAGTATGGAATCATCAACTTCAAGCTTCCTTGCGACTTGTGCCAGGGTGACTTGACCATGTTCCCAACTTGGGCATCGCACTTTATCACTCCGAACATGAAGTCACAACCTGCCGCTGGCCACTCAGCCATTCCACTCAACTATTTGGGGGCACCCACGTTCTTCGCTCAAAAATCAAGTGTGAGGTTTGCTACACATTTGCCGTATATCCTGAAGATGGAAATACTCTTGATTTCGAGGCGGGTCGGCATTCGGTTACACATATATATATATAATATCATAGGATGAAGAACGAAAATTCAGGATGATTTATCTGGAAACCTAATTATTTCTGAAACTATGAAATAACAAAAATATGGTAAATTCTATTCATATATAATCATATATATATATATATTGCTATTTTTATATATACATATTGCTATTTTTTTAATATAATACAATCAAACTTGTTAATATTTTATTATGAAATATAGATTGTATGTTTTTAATTTAGATAGTTATATAATTGTTTGTAATCTATTTATATATTTGTCGTTTATATATTTATTGGGTTATATGGCTAAAAGTCGCGAATGTTGCGGAAGATAATTTGTGATTATTGAGTAAAATGATCTGAGAATAAGGTGTTAAGATGGATCGATGGAAATCGAGAAAAAGGTAGAAAATTTCGATTATTGTAATTAGTGTTTTGAGAAAATATATATAGGAAATAAATATCGTAATAGAATTTGATTTTATGAAGTGTTTTTTGGTAGCTATAAATCTTATAAATATAATGAAAAATGTAAATAGATAAGAGAATAAAAGAAATCTTAATGTCGTAGAATATGGTATGCGAAGTTCGCGATGCGATTCGTATAATTTTGCGTTGGGGTGTGTGTCGTTTGGCGCGTTTAAGGGCTTTTATGACCACGAAATGGAAAATATTATCTTATGGTAAATGTACGTGTGTATAATTGTGGATACGTAAATAGGGGGAAGGTTATTTTTGATGTTTTTATTAGGAAAATATTTAGTAATATGTTTGTTTGATTTATATTGATCTTTTTCTTTTTGTATGTTTGGTCGTTATTATAGGATTTTTTAAATTCTTAAGTTTCGTGAATTCGAATATAAATTTATGGATTTTAATATGATTTTTTATAATGAGGTTGAAATGATTATTGATGGATTTTAATATTAATAATGATTATGTAATTAGGTTTTAGAGCTAAATTTTTTTCTTTTTTCATTGGTTTATTTTTGTTGGTTTGATTTAATTTGAATTTTTTATATAAAGGCGTATTTATTGTTTTTTATATTGGATTTATATTTTACGATTTTTGTTTTTTTATTATTTATATTTATTTTACTAAAAATTGGGGCATGGGTATATTTCGGTTCGTTATGACGCGTATTATGCATAATTTCGCTATGATTTATTTATAATCGAATTTTGGATGGGAGGATTATATTATGTTAATTATTGCAAAAACATAATGATTAATACGATGGTGATTAAAGATCGATTTGTATCCTCCTCATTCGTTATATTGATCGGTTTCGTCGCGAAAATTCGGATATTAGTAATATTACGATATATTTTGTTAGCTTCTGGTATTTATCGCTACTACGTTTTTGCTGAAAACGATGGGAATAGAAATGGCGATGGTTGCAATAACGATTATTTTTGATTGTTGAATTTCGTTGTTTATTGTATCCCGGTAGTATGCACAACATTTATTTCTCCTTTAATTCGCTTTTGTCGATATAGGAGATTTGTTTATTAAAGAGTTTTTCCGCCGCTTGCTCATATTCTAGGTACTTTTGTTCCTTGGCTTTTGCACTGACCTTCTTTGTCGCCACAAAGTTGGGATCGTGTTTGAGAGCGTATATGCTATGGGCTAAGGTATTCACTCTCGCTAAAAGCTTGGTGAGTTTATTTGCAAGCTATTGAAGGGAATTGATCCCCCTGAATATTGGCTAAGTGTTGTCTTCATACGCTCCCGCAAGATGTTGATCTCAATCGCTGTTCGACCCTTAGATAGCTTCAATCTAGGAATCACTGAGCTCGCACTGTCGTACAGGGCCTTTGCGTCGATAATTATCGGAAATTCCATGAACATGCGTATGGTTTCGTCCAGCTGAATCGGGACGTACGGATTTCCCATCGAAACGAAGAACACTTTCTCTCGTTGCTCGAAGGTAGCAACTAACAAAAGCAATCCATGACAAGCTAGCGTGGGCTTCTTTTGAACGCGTGGCTTCGGCTCGAAAGTGGATCCACTAAGTGGCGACGGTGAAGTCAAGTTAATCAAACATACTCAAAAGGTGTGAATTGCATGATGCGACATAGACAAAAGTCCCCTTTCAATCTTTTGAGCTAAATTCTCTCAGGAAAGTCTGCGCCGAAATGGTGCTCTTCCCACGTAGGTAGGTCCTTATGTTCGAACCTTTGGAGTGGAAAAAGGGTCTTTGTTTCTTTTAGCTGCTTGGCTCTGCGCAACTTCTGTGTCTTTCTGGCACTGACAAATTCCTGGTTGAAGCGAACCACCCACGTCTTCTTCGTGTGGTAGAGGGCCATGGTTTTGAAGCTCTCATAGGTGACCTTGGTCAGATTGTCGGCCAGGTTCAAATCACCTGGTACCTAAGTCGGTAGCAGTTACTCTCGTCCTTAGTGCCCTGTTACACGTGATGCATTTCCATGCCCGTCCGGGTGTTTGACATGCTCAACATCATTGAGTCGTTCGTGGTGAGAATATCGAAGTATCCTCGTGAATCCATAATTAGGAGGGATTTAGTCATGTTGGCAAGCAAGTTAGAGTTCTGGCGGATGAGCTGTCCTCCATTGAGAAGGGCCCAAAACAAACGAAGACGCCATCCTCTATCTTCTTCATAGATGGCTTGACCTTCGGTTCCATTTGAACCTTTGCTTGGTCTTTTTAACTTCCAATTTCTCCAATCGATTATATTCATTTTGCTCTCTGCCCCAATGAGGACCGAAGGGTTTGAAAGGCATGAAACATGTCCTCCTGTTGCCCCGCCACAGGGCCTGTTGTTGAGGCCGGCGTCGGCAAAATGGACTGCTATCAGGTCATTCCACCTCAGTTTTTGCTTTCTGCTGGCATTGAAGAAGTGTATCACGAGGTCCTCCTTGGAGGTTTTGCGAAATTCTCTCATTATGGAATTCGCCTCCTTGGGCTCCTTGACGGCTGGGTCCTTTAAGGATGAAGCCAGCATTCCGATCCTAGCACAGAATTGCGGGATTGTTTGGATGGCCCGCGTTGTTTCTGCAGGGTTGGGGCGATTTATCAATTTCCTTTGGTTTTCGTGCTCTATGGTGATAGGTCGAAGTGCTTCATAGAATTTCTCTTGTGTCATATAGATGGTATAGTCTTTGGTCTGTTTCAGTTCAATGACGCCGAAGGTGAATGAGCCAATTTGCCAAAGGGACCAATTTTACATCTTCTTGAATCTTTTTCTATAGCTTTTCCAATCCTTATCGTTTTCCTTGTCGATGATGATGAAACCGTCCACGTGTGAAGCTATGCGCCTACACACTTCTCCGGCTGAGTTGCGGAAGATCCAAATGCACTTATCCAACGGGTAAGCGGTTCCGCCGATCCGCTAAATCTTGGTGTCATTATCTTTCCAGAAAATCCTTGGTGCATTTGTCAAACCATAGATTGCACCAACGACTTATATCACCTGATTCTTTGGAATGTGCAAGGCAAGAGGATAGATGATGCCGTTCTCAATTGTAGTCTCCCAATGCGCTCATCTCTTCTGGCCAAATCCGAATATTTATACCCGATGAGGACAATTCTGGCCTTTGCTTTTACCAGATCATCTTCTCTAAGGATTATTGGAGAGCTATCTGTTGGTGGTAGCTCTGGAGTCGACATAGAGGGAATGGGATCTCAGGACTTCAAAAATTTCTTTGGCCACTGCTTCTTTTATCAATTCCTGGTGATGTGGTGATAGTTTTTAGAAGTTCACCTCTTTGTTCGGTCTTTGCAGCTTGTCTGCGACATAGGCCGTACTATCCAGGAGGAATGCTTGCATGTTGTTGACCTCAAACTCAATGAAGCAAACTTCTTCTGCATCAATGACCTTGTCGGAGTGCATGAAATCCAAAAAGAATTGTTCTTCTCTTTCTTCTTCATTGATTTCTTCAAGAAGCTCTTGACGTCGACGTTCAGGGCCACTCATTTCTTCTCCATCCATCTGGTCGTTGTTATTCTCAATCTCATAGTTCTCTTCGATCAGGTGTTCATTCTTGAAGGCAAAGAGTTGGTAAATGTCCGTCTCTAGCTTTGTCTTCAGTTCTTTTGAAGCCATGATGATCGTGCCCTCGTCATCGTCAAGGTTGTAGTGCGGTACCTTTCTTTTCCTTCTACTAGGCCGGACGGTGAATTCGGAACGACTTGTCCATGTTCTTGCGAAAGCAGGGATGTCCCTTTCTATTTTCTTCTAGTTGTCTTCATAGGTACCATTTTGTTGGTCATTCCACCAAAATCTTCGTCGTTATGATTGGATGAATCTTTCTTCCATTGGATAGTTTGGAGCGGAAGTCGGCTGAAAAAGTGACCATCGTGGAGTGTAGTGATGGCGGATGAGTTTGCTATTTGTCTCCATGTATTCCCATTCATCAGGTCGTCCTATTTATTCGTTTGGGAGTTGTGTCAGAAATGGTAGTCTTTGTCGAACATTATTAATTAATTGGAGTTGATCCTAATTGGCAACATGCTCTTATTTTCTTTGTCTTCGTTGTTTAAATAGTTTTCTTGACCGTAATCGTGATCGTGAGTTGGCATCCGGTCCATGTGAAGGCCCACGCCATTCATCAGGAGACGTTGCTAATTCTCCTTCTCTAGGGTTAACTTCTCCTTCAGGTCGAGGTTCCTCTGGTAGAAGGTCATGCTTTGGATTAAAATTTGGTTCCTTTGTCACATCCACGGTGGAGTGGAATTGTCGAAGAAAGTCACTCATTGGGGTCGCAAGTCGATCTCTATATTTGACCATTTTTGCCAAGATTTCCACTTCTGAAGCTGGTCGCATTTGTTCAGGTGCACAACGCTATAGTGCGATATCCATGAGAACCTAGTAGACAGCAACATGTCCTCCAGGTGTGGCTGAAGCTTCCACCATTGCAATGCGACCTGGATCAATGAATCTGGGTTTATTGATGAATTCTTTCCTCCTGGCCTTGATGATTGGCCAGATGCAAATCCAATTACCCACGACATAGGCGTTTGTAGATCAACTTAAGGCATTGTACAGTCTGGTCATTCTCGCTGCGGCGAATTCTTTGTGGTGGATTTATTCAACTGCATCACGATTTTTTGGGAGCTGCCAGAACTCTG